TCAACCATCAAAGGCAAGGTGGGTGTAGCCACCATAATGGACAGCAGAGACAAAGCAGCAATCAGAATGGCCTGACTCGTGTAGACCTCTAGCACTGGCTAATTAATCACAGTGTTCCTAGAAGTAAAATTGATAGGAAGCCTACTGCATTCCTACTTCATTTATATAATGAGAAAACTTCTAGGTCAAATGGACAAAAGACTATTTTGAATTCTAAAAACAGAGAATCACAGCTCCTCAATCAATTTCCAGACTTTATCTATTTACACACCCCAAACCCCTTGAATGAAGGGGAGGCTGGTTCCTCTTGAGCAAGGACCCCACTACATTACAGACATTTTATGCAATGAATCTTTCTCCCATCCTTCCCTAAGGAGACTTCCGGCCTTTTACAAGGGTAACTGAGCATTGAGGAAAGGGAAATAATCAGACATTTCTGGGACTACTGGACACTGGCTCTGAGCTGACATTAATTCCGGGGAACCCAAAACATCCTGTGGTCCTCCAGTTAAAGTAGGGGCTTATGAAGGTCAGGTAATTAATGGGATTTTAGCTCAGGTCTGACTCACAGCAGGTCCAATGTGTCCCCAGACTCATTCTATGGTCATTTCCCCAGTACCAGAATGCATAACTGGCACAGACATACTTAGCAGCTGGCAGAACCCACACATTGGCTTCCTGACTGGTAGGATAAGGGCTATTATGGTGGGAAAGGCCAAATGGGATCCATTAAAGCTGCCTCTACCTAGAAAAATAGTGAGTCAAAAATAATATTGTGTCCCTGGATGGATTGCAGAGATTAGTGTCACCATCAAGGACTTGAAAGATGCGGGGGTGGTGATTCCCACCGCATCCCCATTGAACTCTTCCATTTGGCCTGTGTAGAAGACAGATGGATCTTGGAGAATGACAATGGATTCTCCTAAGCATAAGCAGGTAGCTGATTCCAACTGTAGCTGCTGTACCAGATGTGGTTTCATTGCTTGACAAAATTAATACATCTCCTGGTACCTGGTATGCAACCACTGACTTGCCAAATGCCCTTTTCTCCATTCCTGTCCATAAGGTCCCCCAGAAGCAATTTTCCTTCAGCTTGTAAGACCAACAGTATACCTTTACTGTCCTATGTCAGGGGTATATCAACTCTCCAGCTTTGTGTGATAATCTTATTCAGAGAGAACTTGATCACTTCTTGTTTCTGCAAGATATCACACTGGTCCATTACATTGATGACATTATGCTGATTGGATCCAGTGAACAAGAAGTAGCAAACACACTAAACTTATTGGTGAGACAGTTGTGTGTCAGACGATGGGAAATAGGGGGAAATCCAACTAAAATTCAGGGACCTTCTACCTCAGTAAAATTTCTGTGAGTCCAGTGGTGTGGGCTCCAGTGGAGTGAAGTCTGTCATGATATTCCTTCTAAGGTGAAGGATAAGTTGCCACATTTGGCCCCTCCTACAACCATGGCTAATGGATTTTTGAGGCAACACATTCCTCTGACCCTTTTATTGAATGACCCAAAAGGCTACGAGTTTTGAGTGGGGTCCAGAACAAGAGAACGCTCTGCAACAGGTCCAGGCTGCTGTGCAAGCTGCTCTGCTACTTGGACCATATGACCCAGCAGATTCAATGGAGTTTGAGGTGGCAGTGGCAGATAGGGATGCTGTTTGGAGCCTTTGGCAGGCTCCCATAAGTGAATCACAGCAGAAGCCTCTAAGATTTTGGAGCAGTACCCTGCCATCTTCTGCAGATAACTACTCTCCTTTTGAGAGACAGCTCTTGACCTGTTACTTGGCTTTGGTGGAAACTGAACATTTGACTATGGGTCATCAAGTCACCATGTGACCTGAAGTGCCTATCATGAACTGGGTGCTTTCTGACCCATCTACCCATAAAGTGGGTTGTGCACAGCAGCATTCCATCATCGAATGGAAGTGGTATGTACATGATCTAGCTCTAGTAGGTCCTGAAGGCACAAGTAAGTTACATGAGGAAGTGGCTCAAATACCAATGGTCTCCACTGCTGCCACCCTGCCTTCTCTCCCCAGCATGCACCAATGGCCTTATGGGGAGTTCCCTATGATCAGTTGATAAAGGAAGAGAAGACTAGGGTCTGGTTCATAGTAGTTCTGCACAATATGCAGACACCACCCAAAAGTGGACAGCTGCAGCACTCTAGCTCCTTTCTAGGACATCCCCAAAGGACAGAGGTGAAGGGAAATCTTCTAGTGGGCAGAAATTTGAGGAGTGCACCTGGTTGTGCACTTTGCATGGAAGGAGAAATGGCTGGATGTGTAATTATATACTGTTTCATGGGTTGTCGCCAATGGTTTGGATGGATGGTCAGGGACTTGGAAGAAGCATGACTGGAAAATTGGTGACACAGAAATTTGAGGAATAGGTTTGTGGATGGACCTCTCTGAGTGGTCAAAAACTGTGAAGATATTTGTATCCCATGTGAGTGCTCACCAACAGGTGACCTCAGCAGAGGAGGATTTTAATAATCAAGTGGATAGGGTAACCCGTTCTGTAGCCACCACTCAGCCTCTTTCCCCAGCCATCCCTGTCATTGCCCAATGGGCCCATGAACAAAGTGGCCATGGTGGCAGGGATGGAGGTTATGCATGGGCTCAGCAACATGGACTTCCACGAACCAAGGCTGACCTGGCTACAGCCACTGTTGAGTGCCCAATTTGCCAGCAGCAGAGACCAACACTGAGCCCTTGATATGCTGATCAGCCAGCTACATGGTGGCAGGTTGATTATATTGGACCTCTTGCATCACGTAAAGGGCAGAGGTTTGTCCTCACTGGAATAGACATTTACTCCAGATATGGCTTTGCCTATCCTGCACACAATGCTTCTGCCAAGACTACCATCTGTGGGTTCGTGGGATGCCTCATCCACCATCATGGTATTCCATACAGTATTGCCTCTGACAAAGGCACTCACTTTACAGCTAAAGCAGTGTGGCAGTGGACTCATGCTCATGGAATTCATTGGTCTTACCCTGTTCCCTATCATCCTGAAGCAGCTAGATTGATAGAATGGTGGAATGGCCTTTTGAAATCACAATTACAATGCTAACTAGGTGACAATACTTTGCAGGGCTGGGGCAAAGTTCTCCAGAAGGCCATGTATGCTCTGAATCAGTGTCCAATATATGGTACTGTGTCTCCCGTAGCCAGGATTCACGGGTCCAGGAATCAAGGGGTGGGAGTGGAATAGGTACCATTCGCCATCACCCCTGTGATCCACTAGCAAAATTTTTGCTCCCTGTTCCTGCGACATTACCTTCTGCTGGCCTAGAGATCTTACTTCTAGAGGGAGGAACGCTGCCACCAGGAGACTTAAAGATTCTATTAAACTGGAAGTTAAGAGTGCCACCTGGACACTTTGGGTTCCTCCTACCTTTAAGTCAACAGGCTAAGAAAGGAGTTAGTGTTGGCTGGGGTGATTGACCCGGACTATCAAGATGAAATTAGTCTACTACTCCATAATGGAGGTAAGGAAGAGTATGCATGGATACAGGAGGTCCATTAGGTTGTCTCTCAGTATTACCACGCCCTGTGATTAAGGTCAATGGGAAACTACAACAGCCCAAACCAGGCAGAACTACAAATGTTCCAGACCCCTCAGGAATGAAGGTTTGGGTCAGTCCACCAGAAAACAAACAAACAAACAAACACAACCTGCTGAAGTGCTTGCAGAGGGCAAAGGTAATACAGAATGTGTAGTAGAAGAAGGTAGTCATCAATATCAGCTACGACCACGTGACCAGCTGCAGAAACAAGGACTGTAACTGTCATGAGTACTTCCTCCCTCTTTTGTTAAGAACATGTTTGTGCATGTATAACACTTATGCTAAGAAAATATCTTCATTTTCTTTTCTTTTCCTTTATCATGTGTCATAAGATTTGTTGACTTTTAAGTATTGTTTTTTAAGCTTTTAAGTATTGTTAAAACTTTATGTAATAGTGTAATTGTATAAAGTATAATTACATTGCAACTTTATGTAATTTAAGTATTGTTAAAACTTTATGTAATAGTGTTTGAGTGGGGATTGGTGCACTTCTGGTTGTATGAAGGATAGTTGTATTATGTTAGGTGTAATTGTGACCTTATTATTGTCTTATTTGAAGATTATCAGGAGATGTGTATGGGTTCAAGTTGACAAGGGGTGGACTTGTAATGGTTAATACTGAGTGTCAACTTGATTGGATTGAAGGATACAAAGTATTGATCCTGGGTGTGTCTGTGAGGGTGTTGCCTAAAGAGATTAACATTTCAGTCAGTGGGCTGGGAAAGACGGACCCACCCTTAATCTGGTGGGCACCATCTAATCACTTGCCGGTGAATACAAAGCAGGCAGAAAAACGTGAAAAGGAGAGACTGGCCTAGGCTCCCAGCCTAAATCTTTCTTCCATGCTGGATGCTTCCTGCCCTTGAACATTGGACTCCAAGTTCTTCAGTTCTGGGACTCTGACTGGCTCTCCCTGCTCCTCATCTCGCAGACAGCCTATTGTGGAACCTTGTGATTGTGTAAGTTAATACTTAACATATATATATGTATACACATATACATATATATATATATCCTATTAGTTCTGTCCCACTAGAAAACTCTGATACACTTATAAAATGTCAAGTGCATTACAAACATTATAATATTTAATTCTCAAGATAATCCAAGGTAATAGATTCTATTATTAGTATATTATCTATGAGAAAACAAAGCACAGAGAAGACAAATTCACTTTGATAATTAGCTCCAGAACTAAACTTGAACCTATGCAGTCTTACGCTAGAGAAATGTGATCCAATAGAACTTTTATTTTATAGCAATTTTATTTTTATGGAAATTTTATTTTAAAGGATCATTTTATTTTTGTAGGAATGTTCTACATTTTCACTCTCCAATACAGTACCCACTAGCCACAAATGGCTATTGAACATCTGAAATATGGCTAATATAACTAAGAAACTGAATTTTCATTTTATTTAGTTAAATTACTTTTAATGTAAATAGCTGCTCGTCGGTAGTGCCTCCCATGTTCGACAGTGCAGATCTGCAGCCTAATTCTAAATCACTGCATTCTACCACCTCCCTTAATTTTAAACATGGACAATGGCAGTGCAAATAGGATGCTGGAAAGGATGCTGGAAATGTATACACCATTGACAATATTTGTTTACTAAGAAAATTTTAAAAGAAACTAAAGAACAAAAACTTTCCTGTTTACCATTTTATTGAGCAATAGAGAAAATCTAATGCTAATTAGAGAAACTTGTTTACAATTTGCAGTGTGAAATAAAACTTTTTTCCTCTTTCTTAATTTTTGTCTCATATTTTCTTCTGCAGAACAAGTAGAATTCAGTTTACTCTGATCTACATAGGCTGAAATCTAAGAGCTATTTTCCTCAAAATTTTGCTTCTATATTATTTTTTATTCCCTGAAATTTCAAGAAATATCAAAGGCATTCAAGAATAATGTATTTCTAAGACACTTTAAAGGTATCTTTTATCATTCCAATAAATAGTTTGCATTAGCCTTCTATAGAGAAAGAGAACAGTAGGATGTATATAAACAGACAGAAATAAATTTATTTTAAGGAATTGGCTCATGCAGCCATAGAGACTAGCAAGCCCAAAATCTACAGGATAGGCCAGCAGGCTGGAGACCCAGGGGAGGAAGAACCAGTGCAGCAGTTCAAGTCCTAAGGCAACCTGCCGGCAGAATTCCATCTTCTTCAGGAGACATCAGTCTTTTTTTATTAAGGCTTTTCACTAATTCAGAGAGGCCCATCCACATTATGAGGGTAATCTGTTTTACTCAAAGTCAACTGACTTAAATTATAATCTCATCTTTAAATATACTTTTACAGAAACATCTAGAACACTATCTGGTTACCATATCCTAGCCAAGTTGACATACAAAATTAAACTTTATATAGGTCATTTAACATTTCTGTATGTAGTACAACAAATTGCACTGATCCATGGAGTACCCTGGAAAGAATCTGACTCATACTAAAGAAAATTGCTTTCATATAACCAAGCAAAATTGGCATGTTTAACAAATCACCAGATAGAGCATTCTAAATTGTTACACTGTTTCATATTACTCTAAAATCTGTTTGATGCTATCTAATTATTATCAAATAGCACTTTCTTGTTTTCTATAATGTATAAGTAAAAGCATGAAGACAGCTGTAAATATTGTCATTTTCCAGGTAGTGAAAATATAACAGTGATTGATCAGAGTTGAATCTACCATAATGTCCATCAACTATAGAACATGTCTAATATATTTGCAGGAAATATAGTGCATAGCAATAGAGCTGATGGGATGATATCTTGTTACACATTTCATAATTAAACATGGACCAATAGTAAATCATAAAGAATAATTAGAATATTTGTTAGTAATCCTCCTATTTACATATCAAATATGAAAATTAAGTGTTAAATTATATTTCTTTGTTGATTACAAACTCTTAGTAATTGAAGCTATTTAAAATTGAATAACAATATTTGATTCGGGCTGGTCTGTAATTTCACACCATGAATTTCAGCACAGTACTTTTCTAACATATTATCTTTGACTAAGGCATGAGATTTTACTTAATCAGAAAATGTCCCTTGGGAAGAGAATTAGAGACAGAGATACTTCCTTGATTTTTAAAATGTTCTTTCTTGTAGTAGACATTACTTCACCTTCCTCACAAACTATGTTGTTGATACTGCTTTCTTTCACATTCGTATGGGGAAGTTGGATCACAAGATAAAGAAACAACTGCCCTGTCCATGTCATTCAAGCATGATGGCTATTATTTGATTTCTTCTTAGAACTATTTGAGAATTCCTTACATATAGTCTAAACTATTTGCCCATTTATTTAGACTCACTGGCCACCTGAAGTTTTCACCAAGGTATTCCATTCTTGGTTGTTGTGCCCAGGTTGCCGCATGTGGCTATTGTGAAAGATGAAATTGTATGTCATATTTGGCTGAGAAACTGCTAGATGTAGTCTTTATTTCAGTAGTTTGCAAAAAAAATAAAAAATAAAAATAAAAAAAGCCGGCCTCAAAATGCAGTAGCAATCTAAGAAGAGAAACTAGGCTATGTGACAAGTTGAATTAACACAAGGCTAGCGAGATTATTCCTAAAGTAATGGATTAATATTCACTAAGCTGGTGGCTTTGTTTACAGCCTGGGTAGATAAAATTCACCATAACAAGCCATTGAATCTAACTGGCTTTGTGATATCTAGAGCCTAGAGCCTTGGTTAAAAGTTACATTCCTTATGCTTTTAAATACATTTTGTAGTTTCAGGTGAATAACTTTGAGAGCCTTTGCCCCTTCTCAGTCAATGTTAAAACGGAAAAGCTATCATCCAAGATAATAAGAAAAAGAGCTTATATAAGCAAAAAGAATCTTAACTAAGGAATCTTAACTAAGTCTTTTACTAACACACATCCCACCCCAAAGTCCTAACAGACCTGTTCTTTGTATACTTCCTTCTGTTACTGAAATGAGTAATACTCAGCACAGTTTATGGAAGTTACAAAGCACATATGTCAGCACGATTCTTTTCTCTCCAGGCTTGTAATCAATTTTTTATGGCCCATGGTTTTATTTAAGTTTGAAGCTTATGATTTTTTAGTTCTTTATTTTGCTTTCACAGTTACAATTATTTGAAGTGTGTGTATGTGTGTGTGTGTTTTTCAGGGAATTATAAACAATATATTTCACTCTTTCTTTGTTGAATGAATCTAAATCAACTCCATGCAGCACCTATACAGTCCAGCTATCTCAGGTCATGTAGCAAGCTCAGCTTTAATATTCCAGGCTGTTATTATTAATGCCATTTCTCTTTATTTAATGTCTCCTAATGCTTGTCAGTGCTTCAGATTAAATTGTTCGAGAATATGAATGTGACATTTGTGGTTTCCTGGGCCTCACTGATACTTAAAACTTCTAAAACTTCATTTTTACTCTAAAATAGGATGATGTATATAAAATGCTTGCCAGATTGACTTTCTCATAGTTGACACTCAAAATAGACAATGCTCAGAACTCTTGTCCCCTCATGGACTTCGATAATAACTACATGCCACACTTCTGTCAGCCTCCAAAGAGACTTACAGCCTTCTGAATTCTTTATGATTTGTCTTTTTAAACAAATGTTTAATTTTAGGAGAATTTAGTCTATATTTCAGCTTTTAGTGGCTAATAAAAGTCATTGACTTACAGAATGTTAGAACTGAAACCCCCTTGAGGCTCCCTAATTTCAGACTCCTTATTTGATAGAAGAAATTTTGTTAGTGTTTTGAAGAGTTTTCTTAATGTCGACTAGGATGTTTCTTTAGGGTATCACCAATAGTTATTTGGACTTGTTTCTGAAAACATAGTATTGTCCACAATGTATAGGGATGTTGCAAAGTGATCTGGATGATTTTTGTTGTGTTTTATGAATGTGTGCTTTGAGTCTGCTCATCTGCATCTATTACCTACTGATGCTTTTCTATAGAATATTTTACATTTGAACACTCATGCAAACATGAATACTCTGTGGAAACCTTTTTATCCTTACCAAAATCATCTTGTATAAGAGTTAGAGAACAATTATGATCTTTGGCAAAACAGTGTTTTTAATTTTTTTAACTCTCAGAAACTGTAACTGTCAGCTCTAAGTTCCTACTCCAACAAATATATGAAAGAATATTAATCGGTCCTCTCTTTCATTAAAATGTGAAGGGGTAGACAGCATGGTATACAATACACAAGAAGGAAGTGCTTTATTTCTATAGAAGCAGCTTGTTTCTAGCTCCTGCCAAAAAAAAAAAAAAAAAAAAAAAAACCCTCTTTAATAAAACTTGACCATACTCACTTTACAAGCAGGGTTCCTGCTAGGTACAAAAATACTTCAACACCCAACATTTCTTAGCCTTTTTCAGGCTGCCCTCCTGCATTTACCTATCTTTCAGGTTCCTCTCCTTGTCATGCTGAGTCATGAGCCCCTTCTTTCTCCACAACATTCTCAGTGCTTTTCTAAGGCATTACTAATTTTTCTAAAAACATGGGGTTGTGTTGCATAGCAACAACCTTCTGCCATCTCTTTGCCTCCCCACCTCACACACTGCCCCTTCCCAAAGCCCACACCATCACACATGTCCCTTCTACTTCATATGGATAGAGAAATCTAGGTTTAGAAAGGATAAGCGAAAGAGCCAAATGATGGAACGTGACCTGAAAGTCATGTGGTCTGACTACATTCGGGGCTCCTTTGGTTACTTTCACAATATCAACAATAACAGTTTGTTGAGCACGTTGTAATTTATGTAGATATTTCATTTACATTAACACATGTAATCTTTTAAAACAAGCTTGTGAAGTAAATAGTATTGATCCACTTTACAGAATCAGATGTGAATACATAGAGAAGTGACTTACCTAAGTCTATGGTGTAACTTTGCGTCATCTTGGTTTGGCCTTTTCTTTGAGATTTCACTATGTAAGACTGGTTTCTATTTCTAGTAGTCCAGTAGTCTTTCAAGGATTTCAGTTTGTTATTAGGATTTCACAGCCTCATGATCACTGATTTCTGCAACTGAGCCCTTGGTCTCAGCTGAATCTCATCTTCTAGTCTAGGACTACACATATCTCAGCTTCAGGGCAACCTAGATAGGAAAAATATGGTATTTATACAGTTATTTATTTTTAACTTTTTGTAAAAACCAGAGCCAAATGCTCTAAAAGTTGAAGAAAGCAATATGGAAAAATTTCACCACTGACATGAATGATGCCAGGATCAGCCTAATATTTTGGCATTAAAGATAATTTAAAGAAAAAATGTTCTAGGCATGGTGACATGTGCCTGTAGTACCAGCTACTCAGGAGGCAGAGGTGGGAGGATCACTTAAACCTGGGAGGTTGAGGTTGCACTGAACTGTGATCATGCCACTGCACTCCAGCCAGGATGACAGAATGAGACCCTGTCTCAAAATAATAATAATATTTTTTATCTTACTACAGCATCTGTAATGGATTCAGTATTAGAATTGAAAATCCAAATCTCATATTCTTTTTACTGCAAAACACTGTATCATAAAATCATGTTATTTAGGTTTTATAATGTGAGATTTTTAAAATCTAAAGAAAGAATGTTTGACATAAATTGTCATTAATATATCTATTCAGAAAATTTTAACCATAAAATAATTTAAAGAAATTTTAGACATTAGCAGTTCTCAAACTTTCTGGCATTAGGACCCATTTGTATTCTTAAAAATCACTGAAGACCCCAAACAACTTTCATTTATCTGAGTTACATCTATTGATTTTTACCATAATATACACTAAAACTGAAAAAATTTGAAAATTATTTATTCATTCAAAAGTAATAAGAAGTCTTTTACACATAATATAAATATTTTATAATATAAAGATATTCTATAAAATAAAAGATGAGTACTGAAAAGTAGCATTATTTGTCATTTTTTCAAATCTCTTTAATGTCTGCTCTAATAGAAGATAGCTGGATTTCTCATTGCTATTTGTTGTTTCTGTTGAAGTATATGAGGGCAATTCAGCCTCATGGAGATATGTAGTTGGAAAAGGAAGGTGTGCCTGAGTCATATTTTCTGATAATTGTGATATTCTTCTTTGTTACTGCACCAAAAGTTGACAAGTGGTGGTTTATTAGAGATTCTTATTACTCATTGGTTAGGTGAGAGCAGATAATAACCAATAGGTTGGGAAATGTAAGGTTGATAAAATTCTAACAACCATATGGAACTCTGTAATTTTTTAAATATTGTGTTTCTATGTGTTAGGCATTATTCTGCATACCTCACATTTATTAGCTCATTTAATCCTCATGGTAACTCAGTGAGAAAAGTGTTATTATTAATCCCATTTTATGCAAATTAGGAAACTGAGACATAGAAATTCTTTGAAATGGTTTTGCCATTTTGATTTTCAGTTATATTGTTTTACAGGATAACAATTCAAAGTAAAATAAACCTAATATAAAGGATGCATAATAGAACTTCAGAGTTATTGGTAAGTATTCATATTGAAGAATCATACTGAAGATTCATAAGAATCATATTGAAGATTCTAATAATATGCTGGTAAATTTCAAAGGGAAATAATGTAATTCTCTTTTAGTAGGTCAAATCACTTATTATTCTCTTAATATTCCTCTAACTATATTGTGATGAATGATTTATTTTTAGCTTGTGTTCTAATACAATTTTTTCTGAATGTGACATATAAGAACTTTATTAATATGGCTTCTGAACATAATTTTTAGCTAATCATTGCACTTTTACATGCATTTTCACTTATATTATTATAAAATACCCTTTAATTAACTGTGAGAATCTGTGTCTCGTATCTTGGTAAAAAGACAGCTAAAACAACATTTTGCTTTCCAGGATTGCAAAAGCTCAATATATGAAGGTGATAGTTTTGGATGTTATAACACAAATTTTGAAAGGAGGTGGCAGGCAAGGCATAGCATGAGGACACATGATTCCTCTCATTGGTACAGGAAAGGGGGCAATGGGCACTAAGAGAAGCAACACTGTAAAAAACAGCTTTGACTGCAGTGAATTTTAATGGTACTTTCTGGGTGCTCCCCAGAATACAATCAGCTGAGAAACCTGTGGTCAAAAATGGGGAGGCTTTCCCAGGGTAATACATGCAGTATTTGGATAATGTTTTGGAAATGTATCTGTTATGATATGAGTAAAGAATAAGAAAAAAAATTGGATGGAGTATCCCAGCTGAGATGTATCCATCAGTTGGTTTTTGAGTATAAGTAATTACAACTCAGCATGCCATGAATATTCCTTTAGATTCAGCACCTATCCTCATTACAAAAAGTTTCTGTTCCACATATTTATTGTTTTGTAAAAATAAAGTTAATTGACAAGTTAACTTGTGTCTCCCTCTAGAGCACTGTGAATTATTTATTTTCATTCCTCCATAGATATTGAAAGGACTGACACATTAGTCAAATAAAAGGAAAAACAGAAAGCAATTTCATGGGTTGAACTTCAGTTTGACAATTGGAAATTTCAATCTGACTACCAGGAAAAAGAAAGAGAGTGGGCAAGATAGTATTTCATGAGACCCAACTAATGGTATCATGTTTTGTTTTGGTTTAGTTTTGGTTTCACCACTTGCACACAATAGAGCAGACGGGGGAGGAAGACATGGAGTTGAAGAGATGATGGACCAGAGGACAAAAAGAAAAAAGAGAGAACATGTAGTAACAATTAGTTATAACTAGCATTTTTATAAAATTTTGCAATTTGCAATATGTTTAATATATTTTATTTCATTTTATTATATACCTCACCAACCAAAAAAAAAAAGAAAAAGAAAATCCTGTGGCACTGGTATGCTGCTGTCATTAATATCTCCCTTACAAATGAAAAAACTGAGGTTCAGGTTGAGTGACATGCTCAAGGTTACACAGCCTGTAGGGCAGAATTCAAATCCAGGCATTCTGATTTCTAATATTGTGGGTTCTCTCAATAGAAAAGGTAGGCCGGATTGTTTCCACAATACATGCTGGAGAAATTCCTATGATGTCAAGTCATTAGGCAGATGTCTAGAGATAAAGTAAGCCTTCTAATAATCTCTCCACCCACTAGATTTATAATAAATACAGAATATTCATTTTCTCACATACCACCCAGGAAATACCCTGGGAGACATTGGGCTATGGATTCAACCCTGACTATGAGGGGCAAATTTTTTGCAGAAAATAAGAGAGTTGCCAGAGAGCATGTGAGATTAAAACTACGAGTTTTCCAGTTAGTGTCCTTTCCAGTCTATAAGCAGTGAACCCTCACTGGAGGAAAACGGTCTGCCTAGGCAGTGATCACTTCTCACTTGTAACTTTTGGATGTCTTTTCTGGGAACAAAAATATGATCTCTATTGTTGTAGAAAGAGTGCAGACCATCTGCTTTTCACATTCAGTGATGACAGGAATGAGGCAAGTATTTTACCTGCAGCAGATGAAGGATAACTATGATAAAGATGTTCTGATCCAGAGGTAGAGTGGGGAGAATTTCATCCTGGAGGCAACAAGTTTTATTTATTAGAGATCTTCAGGGTGTATTTATTTTTTCTTTTTATTTCTGGTTTTAAAAATTATTATCCCTACAATATATTTCAAACAAAAACTCTGCATAGTTTTCTACATAAAGGAGAAAATTAAATGAAAAGAATTATATAAAATTAAGTCAGCTATAACCATGCTACTGTACATGTAATAGAGGAGGAAAGATGATCTATAATAAATATCAGGGCAAAGGGTCCATTTTAATTTGCTAATTTTCTTACTCTCATTTAAAGCTACTTATAAAGTTCACTTCAGAATATAAAATGTTAATTCCATATCTTGATCTGCCAGGACTAATTGCTTAATAATACTGCCATAATAATAAATCCTCAACTATTCAAAATAGCTCAATATCTGTATTAGAGACAGAGCCAATAACCATTACTATTGAATTTAGAAAAGATGCTAATGAAAGGGCAAAGTCACAGATAGATTACAAGTTCAGAGATTTATATTTTAGGGAAAATATCTAATATCTGTTAATTAAGCATATATACTATTTTTAATGATACCTGTAGCCTACATTGATAGTATTAATCAGGTATCACTGTAGCCTACAATGATACCCAGATGCCTCTAGCCTTGAGAGTCTGGTCATACCAAATTAATGCAGTGTTTACTCAATAATTCTCTTTATTTTCAGCTGAAACTGCTTTATAACACAGAATTATAAATGTCCTTTATAAATAATCAACGGACAGTACAACAAACTCAACTGTTTTGAAGAATAAGCAAATATATTATCTTCTCAACTTTCTCTAAATCATAAAATTTATTGTCTACTTTGGATATATAGTATGTCACAATGTTTCTTACAGAAATATTTCTCATAAATTCTCACTATTCTTTATGTTTCTCCACAGTACAGTGCCTGGAATAGTGTGGGTACTTAATAAATTTGTGATTTTTTTTCTGGAGACTACCCCATTTTCTCTACTAAGTTATGCTGAATTTCAGTTTGTTGTCACATGGCTTGCAACTAAGACACTGATATGTCCATGAGTTTGACATTAAATACTTTCATCTATGTGTGGCTAACTGCAGGTGCAAAGACACTCAGTTATTTGCCAGATATTTCCTAACCATGGCTAAAAGAAAGCAATTCTCCTCAAGAATGGAAGAACATTATCACTTTTTTGCTGGGCTGTTTTCTGGAAAAGCCACCTGTTGAACATAAATACGAAAATTTTGATAATGTTTCTTTCTTCAAAGTCAAAGGCACAAAGAAAATGTTAAACTTCTTAAATATGGTAGTCCTGCCCGTATGAGAATAACTAAATATTAATGGACCAATTCATATAAAGCAGAGTGAGAGATCATATTTTCAAAATATTTAAAAGGTTTTAGGCCGGGTGCGGTGGCTCACGCCTGTAGTCCCAGCACTTTAGGAGGCTAAGGCTGGTGGATTACGAGGTCAGGAGTTCGAGACCAGCCTGGCCAACATGGTGAAACCCCATCTCTACCAAAAATACAAAAATTAGCCAGGTATGGTGGTGGGCACCTGTAGTCCTCGCTACTCGGGAGGCGGAGGCAGGAGA